AAATGAATTACAGAAAGCCTGTATAACTGTATGTTAAAACATCATTTTAATAATCAATGACATAATTGGTTATTGTAATTTCATTGTTTTTGATTTGATTAGTGGGGTCAACAAACACTGGGGGGGAGGGGGACAAGGCAGTCCTCTCCCCATCCCTCATTATGAAAGGGACCAGCCACGACGGACAGCTGGTGCAAAATCACGCCATATCTCGGGGCCCTCAATAATACGGAGTAATGTGACCGAGGCTTAACTGGACACCTAACACCAGTTAAGGTGAATGTGATTAGTCTTATAAGAGATATTGTTATAGACCATACTGACAATATTTCACAGTATTCTGAAAATAATACAAGAAATCAAAATAATAAAAATGAAAATTTGCTTTCAATAAAGAAATTTCTATGTAGAAATCTTTATTGAATGTCTGCAAAAATTGCAGCTAGCAGTTAAGTTCACATTAATTAGGAATAGATATAAATCCCCAGACAAAACAAATAAAGAATGATATTTAAATAAAAAGAAATTGACACAATTAAAATCACTAAGAAGTCATGGGGGAAAAAACATACCTCTTAATGGGACCTCTTCCTTCCACCTGGCTTTAGGGAAAGCTTATGTTTAATGTAACTGCCAAAGCCAGAATTTCATAAATGGCTGAAGCAAAGTTAAGATAGATCAAGGATTTGTGACTGTCATAAAGTAAAAATGTCCAGAATAAAGACAAAATCCAAATGCCAAGACCATGATAAAATGGGGGCTATACAACCCACCAAACACAATTTGGTTTTGGGTTTGGAATATATTAACACCACTTATTTACCTTGCACCAAAAAGATCTCAGTACCTTACCTGTAACTTTATCAGCCTGGTAATGTGTTCCCCATTAGTAGTTTTTGGAGGACTGAGAGAGAAAATTCACTGTAATTAAGCATAAAAGTATCAAATTTCAATTCAAATGTTCCATGCTTTTCAAAAGCCTAACACACACACAATTAACACACACACAATTAACACACATACATATACATACACATACACACACACATACACACACACAAACACACACACAAACACACACACACACAAACACACACAACACACACACACACACACACACACACACACACACACACACACACACACACACACACACACACACACACACACACACACACACACACACACACACACCCATGCATGCACGCACCCCCCCCCCACACACACACACATATATACACATAAATACATACACACATAAACACACGCATGCATACACGCACACATACATGCATATATACACGCAAATGCACAGACACACACTCATATATGCATACACACACCCACATGCATACACGCACACATACGTGCATTTATACACGCAAATGCACAGACACACACTCATACATGCATACACACACCCACATGCACACACGTACACACCCATGCCCATACACAAATACGCACACACACACGCACCCACACACCCACACACCCACACACCCACACACCCACACACCCCCCCCCCACACACACACACACACACACACACACACACACACACACACACACACACACACACACACACACACACACACACACACACACACACACACACACACACACACACAAATTTTACCTGAGGTAGAAAAAATGATCAGAACTGTATCTGGAGCTGAACTAAATACAAAATATAGCCTTTTCAATATGTCAGTTTACAAAAAATTGTCATTAGTGAATGCAAATATTCACAGAAATCTCATCAACAAATGAATGTATACAATATTGCTTCTTACACATCATACACACATCATTACAAGAATGAGGTATTTTCTTTACAACTTAGCACACTTTTAACATTCTCATGGTCATCTTTCATGATGACAATTGGATCTTTTCAGGTAGTTAAGTAAATAATGAAATTCATTCGGACCTTCCCTTCATCATTTCCATGTTCATTTCTATCCTTGCACACATTTTGCCATTAGATCATGGAACTTTTTTATTTGGTGCAAGTTCTAGGAATTTGAGGAAACAAATTTGAAACTGATGAATATTTTGACATGACAAAGAGGTCATGCCAAAAGGTACCCCATTTGCGCTAGCCACACATTTTGGGGATTGGCATGACAAATTTCTGTTGACTGGCATCAACATGCCAATCCTTTTCATTTATGGGGCCCTTGTGTCCAGTCATCAGCTGAATGATATATCACAGAAAGTGACATATATGTCTTGACTTATTTGGGAGCTATAATTATAGTATTTTTCTAATACTGTTAAAATATTACACACATGCATTCTCAACTTCTTCCCAACAGAGCACTGATAAGAAACATCATTTTTGTCCATGACATTAAGGAACTGAGGAAATGCCAAAAATGATAATCATCATGCTTATTGCCTAAGAGTGTGGCTAACTTTACTCTGGCCTGGATTAAATACTGAACATTGTCAAGGGAAGTTGGGCACCACAAATAGGTGCAGCCATCAGATTTTATAGAATTCCAGATGCACAAGCAAGGTCTACAACAGAGGTTCTTAACCTGGGAGTTACACACCAATTACTCAATGGAATTCTCTGAACAAGTGTTACTGTGTATATCAGTGTTGCATAAACAGTATTCTTAGCTCAATAAAAAAAAATAAAACAATTTTTTTTTTCCCCTTTTCTTTAAGGAAGAGTTCATTATTTTATTGATGTTAATGGAAGTATGTAGCAACAAGGACAATGCTAGGAGTGGACATAGTTGTAAAATGGTTAAGAACCTCTTAACACATTGCCAGGATGTGATTCTATCTTACTGATTCTGTTCACACATACATGACACAACAAGATTTGGGTCAGTTAATAGTCCTATCTATCTAACCTGTTTACCCTTTTCCTTGTAAACAAGGAAAAGGGTAAAGGGTTTATCAATTCTATTGCCATTAGTGTTTTAATTGAATCATAATTATCATAATGTCAATAATGTCAATAATAATGATAATAATAATAATAATAATAATAATAATAATAATAATAATAATAATAATAATAATAATAAATATAATAATAATAGTTACAATAATAATAATAGCATCAATAATAACAGCATTAGAAAAAACACATTATTCCTGAAAATTCAAGGAATGGGGAAACCAGACAAGGTCAATCAAGGTCAACCAATTCCTTGGTGACTGAGCACTCTGGAGCCATCTATAATGGGAACAGTACATGTACCTGGTTCTGCTTGGTTAATGATTTCTGCTGTATCTCATTACCCCTATCTAAATTTGCTAGATATTATGTTGCCCATGAGATATACAGAAGAGGCACAATTACTGGGCTGAATTTTGGCCATTGGCTGACCTTAGTCTGTTTTCACCACTCTAGGTATACAAGCTGATACTATGGATATACCACAGACAGCTTTTACAGTATTCTAAGATTTGCATCAAGTCATTGCTCCACTTAGGAAACAACAGACAATTAATTATAACATTTTCACAAATATGGAGTCTTTATGGACCTGAGAATGTTAGCAGCATGTCATATTTTCTCCTTTCTTCCATTACTTTCTTATACATTACTGAATAACACCACAAACACAAAAATATAAGTATTTATATAACAGAAGTAGCAAAAATAATAAAATTTCATTTTCAAGCTTAATATAAAATAACTTCTTACATATTAAACCTGCTAACTGATAGTCATCTCTCACAAAAATATAACTTATAAATATTGGTTCATACAAAAATACCCATATAAATGTACAGAGATCTTTAAATCAAAATGTACTCAAAATAGTAAATAGCAATAAATGTTTATAGAATTCAGTATGCATCATGGACTAGATTCTTGATACATGCAACAAGTTTCATTACTTGTAACTTCTCATAGCAGCCTATTCTGACCCCCCATTGCATGGGTATAATTTTCTAATAATTTTAAACTATCACCTATTTAATACCAAGAAGCATTTTTTTTTTTTTTTTTTTTTTTTTTTTTTTTTGTATCTTCATATCTCTAGAGCATAGCACCTTTAATATACCAATCTTACCAACATTTGTATAACCTCTATTTTTTGTAAGGAATATTTTCCAGTGAATCAACCTCCATAATTTGTATTCACATTCTTTTCTCTTGTATAGACTGCAAAAAGAACAGACCTCTCCTTTACCACGTGTTTAGTAATCTACTGGTATACTAAAATCATATAAACTATATTAGCTCATTTAACAATCTAACAAAACAGCTCCACATAACTTCGGTCTTTTGTGAGAGAAAAAACACAATGTATAAAACATGTTTCTCTGAAAGACAAGTTTCAAAATCATATTAGATCTAATTATCAGGCTTCATTTAACTTTGAAACCATTCTCTCACCTTTCAAATGAAATTGTCTTACCTAGTTTATGATTGCACTCATTAGGAAGAATTATATATATTATGAAATATATAGACACAGTATGATACTTTTGAATTGTCATATGTCACTAAGAAAATAAAGAACTTGCTGTCCACTTTCACAGAACATTAACAAAAGAAAAGTGAGTTCTGCTGGCCACATTACAAGAAGCAATGGCCTCAAGAACTATTTTCTAAGTCTTTATGGGAACAGATCACTAAAGGCAAGACTCAGACATTAGAAATATCCTGGAAATTACTACAAAATAATTTCATATCTTAATATCCTGTGACTTACCATGAATTGCTAGATGAGCACCAGAAAAGGATTGCTGGAGATTTTTTATCAAGGAAATCCCAGTAAAAAAAATAATTATATTCTGACAGATAATGATGCTACTAAACAGAAATTTTATATAATTAAAATAAACATAATGATAAAGGAGGGTGAGGTCACTTTTTTTTTTGAGTCTATCACCTTAAGTAGAATACATCTAATAACTTTTAATCTAACATTAAACAATTATAACTTTCAACATAATATATTTAATGCCTTCTCTAATCTTGTAACATGTATGGATGTGTAAGTAATCCACTTATCAGGGAGCTTTCTTACACATTCATAAAAAAACCTTAATGCATTTCTTGACTTTTTTTATGTAGCATCATTTTTCTCTTTTCCTAATAGTTCATCTAAATACATCTAATAACACACAACTTTTAATCTAATATTAAACAACCTAAAGCTTCAACATAAGATATTTAATGCCTTCTCTAGTCTTGTAACATGTATGGATGTGTAAGTAATCCACTTATCAGGGAGCTGTCTTACACATCCATAAAAAAACAATGCATTTTCCTTCTGCCATTTCTTGACTTTTTTATGCACCATCATTTTTCTCTTTTTCCTAATATTTCATCTAAGTTTTACAAATGAACCAAACCTAAAAGTGAGTAAAATATACCTTAATTATAAGAATTAACTGTGTGCACATTACCAACAATAGAGATCCTTTGAATGTGATAAAATATCTGTTTGTATTTCCATGAAAGGATTTTGATGAAAAAAAAAAGGAAAAAAAAATCTCATCACAAAAAAGGGATTAAACTCCCTAACACATACAGCAGACTTCAAGACATTCATTGTGTAATGCAGCTGCAAGCTCAAGTTTTAAATAATTAATCACATTGCAAATAAACAAAAAAAAATATTACAGCTATATGAAAGAGAGCAAGGCCAGCTAAGTCCTCTCTGACTTCAGGGTAAAACCTCTTGGCACCAGGTGATCCTTCTACATGTCATGGCAATTTTGATGCTGCTACAAGATTCCATCACCATGGCTTGTATTCGGGTTACTAGGTGTGAAGAGCATATGTGGGAATTGGCTTTTATGCACCCTACATACAATGAGTGAAGAATCATATTTTCTTTAAACATAGACAATTTGTTAGTATACAAAATACTAAGGAAATAGAATGTTAAAAATACTTTCATATCTTCAAAAAAAAAAAAAAAAGTTTTCAAATAACTATTTTTAACAGAGCAAAACAATTTGGCAAATATCAATAACTATAAATCACATTATCATAAAAACAATTCCACACTTTTCCTTTAGTTGTCTAGGGTCAATGATAAAATGCTGAATAGCATTCATGCATATGAAATCTTCAAAGACTGTGGGGGAAAAGTAAAAGCTTATAACAAATGAATTATAATAAGATTGAAAAGAAGGTGTTGCTTGAATAAATAACTCCACTATTCTACTTTGCAGTTTGTGAAAATTGTTGTGCTATAATATTCTGTGCTTTCATTTTCATGCAATTTCTTATCACAGTTTAAGCTGATCAACAGAGTATCAGCATACATAATTGTGTATCATTCCACTTGTGACCGAAGTAGTCTAATTACGCCCATTTGCAAAAATAGATTAAACAGCAATCCTTGAGAATGTAGTAGAAGAAGGTTTGAACAAGAATTAATAAGATAATAAATATTAGAATTTTTTCCCACTCATACTTTCTTCTACAGGTATGAATGAGCATCAACGATAATTTTCTATCTCATTATTTCCTTATTGATTGCAATTCAATCTGCGGTTTCTGTTTTGGCCGGACAGCAGGGATGTATTTCATTTCTTTCAGATGGTCGTCCGTGATGACCCAATCAAATTCTTTTACAAAGGTTTTGCAAAACATCTGGAATACAAAGAAGGGTTGAATATTAATTTCAGCTTCCATGGTAAAAACATCAGAGTTTAGTCCTTCAAGCCAAGTACAGAGGCCAAACACTGAGACTACTAACCATCATTATGTCCCAAATCATCCTCTTTCCAATGCACTCTCGTGGTCCAGCTCCGAAGGCAAAAATTCGTCCTCGGTCATCTTTATTGTCCTGACTCCATCTCTCGGGCCAAAACTTTTTTGGGTGAGGGAAAAACTTTGGGTCTGTATGCGCCCCAAAGAAGCTGAAATGGATCACCATTCCAGCAGATATCTCATAGCCACTGAGCTGCGTGTCCTTTAAGGCTACACGACGACCACCTGCAAGAGGGGGCATCAGGCGGACAACCTCAAGCAAAATTGAATCCAGTGCCTTGTCTTCCTCTTCCTCTGATGAACATGCCTGTCAACCAAGTAATAGTCAGATAGGAGTTTTTATTTACTTTATCAAAACCAAAGGTGTCTTGGATTACATTTATGAAATTTTACTGCAAATTTCTAGCAAATTCCATTAAAATCATTAAAAAAAAACATAAAAATTCTCACAATCACCCCCACCTGATAAAATGCCTTCCATGATGGAGCCATTAGAATGAATGAGGTGAGGACTGATGCAAACACTTTTGGAATGAGAGCACAGCAGCAGACAAGGAGGTGGTTCAACTGCAGTTCCTCATCAGGAACACTTTCACGCATGTTCTCCAAGAAAGCTGTAGGAAAGTATGGCTTTGACAAACATCCTTCATTACAAACTATTTCCTCCTAAACGTATATATATAAACTTACATACATAAATACATACATACATACATACATATATATATATATATATATATATATATATATATATATATATATATATATATATATATATATATATATATATA